TTTCGGATATATATATATATATATATATATATATATATATATATATATATATATATATATATGCCTGTGTGTGCATTTGCGTGTGTGTGTTGGCAATTGCGTTTCGGCGTCCATAGCCCCTAAGATAACTCTTGACACCATTATACGATTTCATAAGTATCATTCCTAAACGCTGTATCCTTGATTGGGTTGATTTGATCTGCATGTGTACCAACATGGGCCTTATCGGTCTGTATCAGGGGTCACCAAAGTACGGCCCGCGAGCCGGATCCGGCTCCCGATTTCAGTTCATCTGGTCCGCCGTTTTACTGTGCCACAAATGAGCTAAATTATAATTATTTATATGGAATTACCAATACATTGTAGTTAAAAATTACTATGTAGAGAAAATGAAAATAAATTTGGCCAATCTGATTGTTGCATCTGTTTTAATATATGTTTTAGGAAAATCAGTAAAATAAAAAAAAAATCGACAAATTTTTGGAACTTTTGATACCCGCAATCTGTAATTATCTGCAATGTTGTTTCTAAGAAAAGCGATTACGAGCCTACTGCAGCAGTCATGTTCTAACTTGCATTACCGTGTTTAAACTGGTTTGAAAAGTGCCGTATATACAAAGGACTGACTTCAGCGAATTATGTCATATTTTTTGCCTGAACTTATAAAACTTATAAAATATAAAGTATGTAAAGTCAGCATATGTAACGATGTTGATGAACATTTGAAAGCACTTTTCTTGGTTGGATGTAGCAATACCAAAAAAAAAAAATATATATTAATTATATCTTAAAAGCTAAACATCAGTTTCACAAATCTCACTAACCTTTTGTACTGCTTAGTCTGTGAGATTCGGATATGTGTGCAATTGGTGTGATATAACTTTTTTTTTATTGCTATTACCGCAATAAAACGTTTTAGATAACTGTCATGGGTCCTTACCTATAACTACAGAATGAACTCTTCCTAACACTATGTATACTACGCCCTCAAGAGAGAGGGTCGAATTGAGTCGAGCCGATAGTAGTTCGCTCCAAACCAGACTGACAGTCATACTAACACCTTCCACATCTTTTATTATTATTTCGTGTAATATACCTTCGTTATTTCTACTCTTGTGTTCGTGTTGTTCTTCCTTGGTCCTTTCCTGGACCATAACAATAACGTTTTTAGCAAGTAAGTATGTTTTTTGTCTTTATTTTTTGTGCATTCAGTGTATTGTATTGAACAAAATGGTTAACCGGCCCGCACTTGTCATTTTCTCAGTTACCTGGCCCTCTGTGAAAAAGTTTGGTGGCCTTTGGCCTAAATGATGATCTGCAAACCTTGTGGCAAACAACGCAGGTACTGTTGGCAGGCAAATGGGGCATGTTGGCATAGTTGACTTTCTTCTGTTTCTTATAATGACCTTTCAGACGGGCGCCTCGACGTGGTGTAATGGTTAGAAAGCTTGTCTTGCTAGATCAGTTACGACTGAATAGTGAGTTCGCTCCTCACTGGATGCACCATACGTTCGGCCTTGTGCCACATCTAAGCCGGGCTTAGAAAATCACTATAA